TCAAAAATTGTTGATATAAAATTAGAACTATCTGTTACAGTTATTCAGATAATTAAGACATGATTTTATACAATTTTTGAATTTTTAAGTTGGAGCTTTATCTGAGAGTTATTTAATGAGAAAGAATGTTCTGCTACAGTTAGTGAAATGATTGATGAGAAAGAAAATTTCTAATATATTTAGTAAAACAAGAAAGAATGTTTGATTAGAGACAGAATATTTTACTACATTTAGTGAAATGTTTGATTTGAGAGAATGTTTACTACATTTAATGAAATATTTGACATTAAAGATAGAACTTCCCACTACTACAAGTGAAATGTTTGATTAGGGAGAATGTTTTACTATAATTAGTGAAATGTTTGATCAGACAGAATGTTTTACTACATTTAGTGAAATGTTTGATTAGAGATAATGTTTTACTACAATTAGTGAAATGTTTGATTAGAGAGAATGTTTTACTACAATTAGTGAAATGTTTGATTAGAGATAATGTTTTACTACATTTAGTGAAATGTTTGATTAGAGAGAATGTTTTACTATTATAAGTGAAATGTTTGATTAGATAGAATGTTTTACTACAATTAGTGAAATGTTTGATTAGAGAGAATGTTTTACTACATTTAGTGAAATATTTGATTTGAGGGAATGTTTTACTACAATTAATGAAATGTTTGATTTGAGGGAATGTTTCACTACAATTAATGAAATGTTTGATTTGAGAGAATGTTTTACTACAATTAGTGAAATGTTTGATTAGATAGAATGTTTTACTACAATTAGTGAAATGTTTGATTAGAGAGAATGTTTTACTATAATTAGTGAAATGTTTGATTAGATAGAATGTTTTACTACAATTAGTGAAATGTTTGATTAGAGAGAATGTTTTACTACAATTAGTGAAATGTTTGATTAGAGATAATGTTTTACTACATTTAATGAAATATTTTATACTCTAGAGAGGAACTTCCTACTGTAGTTTATGAAATTTTGGATTAGAGAGAATTTTTCTACTACAGTTGTTGATATGTTAGATGAAAGAGAATGGTTTTTGCTACAGTTACTGAAATGATTAATTGCAAAGAATACTTCTACTAGAATTATTCAAATATATGTTTTGAGAAGTGTTATTTGAAATTTATGGTTAATGAGAATTTTTTTGTATAGTTGAAGAAGAAGTGTCCTTAAGTGGTGGGGGTGTTATCCAACGCATAAGACTATTGGATGAGCAAGAAAGTCCAGGTTCTGTGTCTGGAGTTCTTGACGATGACCTGATCCAATATTACCAGTTTCTTGCTGATAAAGGAGATGTACAAGCCCAGGTGAAATCAGATTAATCACATGTAAACACTTTTGGTCTGTAGCTTCTTCTAAGAAATTGGTATATTTCCATGCACACACACACATATATATATATATACACTATTAAATAATGTCATGGAATAAGTAAAGCTTAAATCTGATTACTATCTATCTACATGTATAGAAATAAAATTAAAATCTGCTTGAATATAGCTTACTACAAATTAGACATCCAAGTATTAAGGAGTGAGTAAACATCAGCATTGGTCCACAACTATTAGAAATTATTGTAATGTATCATGTGTTTGTCAGAGTTAGAATTTAAAATTATTATGGATACTGTATTATAATGTATTATTATTTTATTACTGTTAGTTTCAGAATAATATGAATTTTAGCATACTATTAATTGATGTACATAAGAAAAACTCTAAAATACTCATAAATATTTAGGGATACCAAATAGACCTACATACTCCCCCCCCCCCTCCCCAAAAAAAATAACTGGATGACCCACCCACCCAAGATATAATTTGGGAAATATATCTGTTTTTAGGCTTCTAACAATGATCCAGGTAAGGAATATCTTCTATTAGTGTTATTTTAAGATGCTACCCTTTCTCTTTTCAACTTTTTCAACATTTTTGTTCTTCCTTTGTTGAAGTGGTGTGAATCAATTTAATAGTTTTCGTGTAAAATTTATGTTCATAGCATTAAGATATGTAGTCACCAGAATAATTGTATCTGGGAGTTTAGAGCATTTTCTCTAGAAAATAACCCAACAAGTCAATGAACTGAGTATTTTTAATTCTGTAAGGGTTTGTACTTAAAAAATAATTTACAGAATAGGTTATCAGTGTAGTATATAACACTATTCCAGGCAAAATAGATTGTGATCAAAAATATGATTTTTGTACTTAAAATTTTTTATTTTAATAAACGTATCTTTCATGTTATCGTAAATTTTGTTTTGTAAAGTAGGTTATAGATTCTTATAGAGAACAGTTGCCTAGTTAACCAGAATCAGTATCATTTTATGTACAGTTTTGTAGAATTGCTATCCAGAATTAATTCCATTTTACATACAGTCTCAGAAGACTTTCTCTTTCTAATCTCATTTCAGGCAGAATTTCACTACAGTTAAAAAAATATGGATGCTTATCTACATAAAGTGTTAAAATTTTGTTAGTGGTAAAAATAACAAGTAAAACCTGTCTTAGCAAACTGCAATACTTTATATTATTTAGTGTATTATGCAAGTATATTGAGAGTTTATTTTATATATATATATATACATAGAAAAAATAATTATAGTTGAAATATAAAGTATTAAATACAGCACTCTAATTGTTAATGTCAGTAATATCTCCATAGTGCTTAACCATAAAAGCTGTTGAGCATTAAAATTATTATATTTCTATAAATTTATTTTTCAAAGAACAGAGCCATATCTAAAAGTTGATAGTGTTTCATATTTCGTTCTATGTCATTTTTATTTTCTATATCATTGAGGAGATGAATAGAATTTTCATTGAGTACTTTGGTTAATGCTTTCACTATTTTTTACATTTCTCTAATTTCAAAGGCCTTAATGGGTAAATTTGTTTGAAAAGCTTATATTTCAAAATTGGTGAATCATTACAGGTTGGACTAGGCCAGCTTCACTTCCAAGGAGGAAGGGGTGTTGAACAGGATCATGCTGTAAGTTTTGTTTCATTTGTATGAATATTAAATATGGGAATTAGAAACTTCATAAAACAGTGTTGCTGGTGTAATCAGTATTAATCACATTTGTGCCAGATAAAGCCAATCACAAGTATCTTAGCTTTAAGAATAGGCACTATCTTAGGTAACATCATTTTAAGGCTTTCTAATTCAGTGATCCAAAATCACCATTATATATAATGGTAATTTCATCTTTCAACTGTTAACCTTCTTTCAGCAGACAGGTCAAAGGGCATATGTTTGAATATAAAATAAGAACCTCTCACTTTTTTGATTTACTGAGATATCAATATATTTTGCAAATCTACCAGGGTGGACCCACCCACTACTCCATTCTTTGAAACTTCTTGTCTACTCACACCTACTTCTCTTAAGTACATGTTTATAACCAATAGAAAGAGCATATTCCAAACTATGTAAATCTGACAAACATTTGTAATAGAAATAAAGGAGAAATTTGTAATTTGGCTAGAAGTGTTGAAGTCTGTTGAATAAGTCATTGCTCTAAACAGAAATGATATTTTATTAACCACATATAGCTTAGTTAGAAAGTCAGGTAAATTACAGTAGTTTTACGTGTATAAATATAGCAGTTTGATACTTTTTGGTTTTCTAAAATGCGTCTTTGAAATTTTACAAAATTTGAGAAAATAAACAAAGCTTATGGTTAGGCTTAGCAAGTATGACAAATAAGTACAACTCAATTTGGTAATATCATAAGTACTAGAAATTATTTTTTGTATATTGTTTTGTGTTTTGAGAAAAATAACTAAAAATTAAACATTTATGAGTAAATAGTAATAATGTATATACATGTTCATAAGCATTTACACATCTTATACATTTGTATTGCTAAATCCCAACCACTCTGGAAGGATAACTAACATCCAAATACCTACCAAATTTATTGGATCAGCCCTGACTTAGTAGAGCCATATCATAAACATTTTCTCACATTTTTTGCTACTTTAGACAGTTCTTCTTTCAACCACAAGCTAATAAATCCCACTGGGTTCTTGGAGCTAGGATTACAATAAATTCTGTGTGAAAGTTCTGTTAAATGAGCTGCACAAGCTTATTTGTTATCAATGGTGTCGTATTATGATTGAACTTAAACAGTCTAATTGCAGGAGCAATGATTCATTGCTTTTTGATCGTCATGTTTCTACTTCAGTAAAATGAACTTCATACCCAATACTAAAGAGGATAGAATAGTATCACTTACTTTCACACAAGGTTTTATCAGTTGTAAAACTTTATTTTATTCACAGTGTATCACTCACTTTATTTTACATTTTTCAACCTTGTAACTCACTATCCACAGCTAGATTAAAGTGTGCATGTCACATTTTTTTTATAGAGTTACTTTCAAAATTTAATTAAACTACTTTGTTATCATGGTATACATTGCTAAAAATCCATATTTTAATATTATATAAGTTTAAGTTCTTAATTTTATAAGGCAATATTTGAAAAAAATCGTTAATTTCCTCTAGTATGAGAATTGTGACATTTGTCCTCTAGGTATCCCCTCTTCTCGAATTTATTTAATACCCCTCTGAGATGTACAATATTTAACATAAATTGCTCATTATAATATTGTCATCTCTCAAGCAAAGCATAATTTTCTAGACTTCAATCTTATTTGGTTACAGAGCCATAAACTAGAAACTCTGACCCAGTTGCCATGCCTACCTGTCATATCCTCTCTTTCCAAAAGTGCCAATACTTCTTTCTCATGTTTATTACTAGACTGATTATAACCAATACAAAGCTAAAGTTTTAAGCTATCAAATGACATAACATATTACATTGTTTTTTGGACAGAGAATTATCTATTTTACTTCCAGTTCAAACTGTATTCTCACAGGAAACACATCAGCAAGTTTAGCTGAATTTTTAATGACTCTTATTGCATAGTTCGCAAGTCAGAAAATTATAATAATTATTGGACATTGTCTGCTTTTTATGTGTTGTTATTTTCTGTCCCTAGGTGCAGTATTTAATTAAATAAAAAATTATTTTGTGTGGTAGCACCATTAATATAGATATTAAGCTTAAGTTTCATCAACAGTTGACAGTAAAAGAAAAATTAAGACACAGGTATGTGATATATTTCTTGTTTTTTTATGTTTATTCTTTATTTATTATTATAAAAGTAACTAAAATATAAAAATTAGAAACTTATTAGGTTAGATTAGGTAAGATAAAGAAAAAATTATAATACCACTAATAAAAATATTTTATGAGGTATGCTCCTGAGTAGTCCATGTGTTATGTAATTCACTAGTGTAATGTGTGCTGCAAGTTTGCCAAGTGATTTACACTTAAATGATGCAAATAGCAGTTAGACATGGCTCAAAGGTCAATGAACATTAAAATATAAGTAGAAACAGAAGTATACTGTTAGAAACATTAAGCTGTTGAAGATAAACAAATGTAGTTTCCTTTTACAATTTGCAGTCATTCTAGAAAGAAAAAAGAGAAATTTAGATTTCTTTCATTTTTTTTTTTCTGGTGGTTATGAAGTCAGTCAATTTGACTGACCCCTTTATAGAGTTAGGATAAAGAAAATACCAGATAAAATATAAAGGTTTTCTGAAAAAGAGATAAACTTTTGATATTTATTTAGGAGGTTTTTGAGATTGTGCAAATGAAATTTGAAAATTTGCAGATTAAGAAAAGTATTTTTGATTTTAACCTGAAATTCACTCTAAACTCAGAGCAGTCAACACTCTGACTCCATATATTCATGGACAAATTTTTGGTAAAAATACTTCCTTAAAATTTTCTTATTTTTTGTTTCCAAAAGACTTGTAATGTTTACTAAAAGCTTGAAAAATTTTGTGAAGATACACAAAACATATTAAGAGTTATAACATGGAAACTGCAATGCTCACTTTGGACTCGTGGTCAGTGTAATCCACTGAGTCAGTAGTGAAAGAGTTAATAAAAGTAAACATGAAGCAGATATCCTCTGTTTTAAATATAACACAGTCTTTTATACATTTAATTTATTTTAAAGCAACTGTATTGATAAAATGATCTTTCAATTAATAATTTTATAAATTTGATGTTTATTTTGTTTAAATTAAATGTTATTTCCTCTTCTCCATTGATACTGTTACAAGGTAGTCAATAATATTTTCAGTTGATTTTATTGTTGTTTTTGTTTTCTCATAATAAGAACATTCTGTTGATCTGGTATTTTCGTTATTGACTCAAGTAAAAAGTCAAAACATTGAATGACCATATTTGCCTATGTTTATTTAAATGTAGTAGACATATCACAAGTTGGAAACAATTAGGTATGATGTTTTTTGTAATTACCTAAACTTGTACAAATTTTATATGCCATCTTTTGTTTTGATAATACAGCCTGTGAATTTAAACTTCAAAAAAGTTGTATTGATTTTAATAATGGATTTTCCATAAATAATATTATAATGGTTGGAGACGGCTTGAATGGGTAATGAAGAAAAAGTTTAATATAAGTTTAACA